TTCTTCTTCTTCTTCTTCTTCTTCTTCTTCTTCTTCTTCTTCTTCTTCTTCTTCTTCTTCTTCTTCTTCTTCTTCTTCTTCTTCTTCTTCTTCTTCTTCTTCTTCTTCTTCTTCTTCTTCTTCTTCTTCTTCTTCTTCTTCTTCTTCTTCTTCTTCTTCTTCTTCTTCTTCTTCTTCTTCTTCTTCTTCTTCTTCTTCTTCTTCTTCTTCTTCTTCTTCTTCTTCTTCTTCTTCTTCTTCTTCTTCTTCTTCTTCTTCTTCTTCTTCTTCTTCTTCTTCTTCTTCTTCTTCTTCTTCTTCTTCTTCTTCTTCTTCTTCTTCTTCTTCTTCTTCTTCTTCTTCTTCTTCTTCTTCTTCTTCTTCTTCTTCTTCTTCTTCTTCTTCTTCTTCTTCTTCTTCTTCTTCTTCTTCTTCTTCTTCTTCTTCTTCTTCTTCTTCTTCTTCTTCTTCTTCTTCTTCTTCTTCTTCTTCTTCTTCTTCTTCTTCTTCTTCTTCTTCTTCTTCTTCTTCTTCTTCTTCTTCTTCTTCTTCTTCTTCTTCTTCTTCTTCTTCTTCTTCTTCTTCTTCTTCTTCTTCTTCTTCTTCTTCTTCTTCTTCTTCTTCTTCTTCTTCTTCTTCTTCTTCTTCTTCTTCTTCTTCTTCTTCTTCTTCTTCTTCTTCTTCTTCTTCTTCTTCTTCTTCTTCTTCTTCTTCTTCTTCTTCTTCTTCTTCTTCTTCTTCTTCTTCTTCTTCTTCTTCTTCTTCTTCTTCTTCTTCTTCTTCTTCTTCTTCTTCTTCTTCTTCTTCTTCTTCTTCTTCTTCTTCTTCTTCTTCTTCTTCTTCTTCTTCTTCTTCTTCTTCTTCTTCTTCTTCTTCTTCTTCTTCTTCTTCTTCTTCTTCTTCTTCTTCTTCTTCTTCTTCTTCTTCTTCTTCTTCTTCTTCTTCTTCTTCTTCTTCTTCTTCTTCTTCTTCTTCTTCTTCTTCTTCTTCTTCTTCTTCTTCTTCTTCTTCTTCTTCTTCTTCTTCTTCTTCTTCTTCTTCTTCTTCTTCTTCTTCTTCTTCTTCTTCTTCTTCTTCTTCTTCTTCTTCTTCTTCTTCTTCTTCTTCTTCTTCTTCTTCTTCTTCTTCTTCTTCTTCTTCTTCTTCTTCTTCTTCTTCTTCTTCTTCTTCTTCTTCTTCTTCTTCTTCTTCTTCTTCTTCTTCTTCTTCTTCTTCTTCTTCTTCTTCTTCTTCTTCTTCTTCTTCTTCTTCTTCTTCTTCTTCTTCTTCTTCTTCTTCTTCTTCTTCTTCTTCTTCTTCTTCTTCTTCTTCTTCTTCTTCTTCTTCTTCTTCTTCTTCTTCTTCTTCTTCTTCTTCTTCTTCTTCTTCTTCTTCTTCTTCTTCTTCTTCTTCTTCTTCTTCTTCTTCTTCTTCTTCTTCTTCTTCTTCTTCTTCTTCTTCTTCTTCTTCTTCTTCTTCTTCTTCTTCTTCTTCTTCTTCTTCTTCTTCTTCTTCTTCTTCTTCTTCTTCTTCTTCTTCTTCTTCTTCTTCTTCTTCTTCTTCTTCTTCTTCTTCTTCTTCTTCTTCTTCTTCTTCTTCTTCTTCTTCTTCTTCTTCTTCTTCTTCTTCTTCTTCTTCTTCTTCTTCTTCTTCTTCTTCTTCTTCTTCTTCTTCTTCTTCTTCTTCTTCTTCTTCTTCTTCTTCTTCTTCTTCTTCTTCTTCTTCTTCTTCTTCTTCTTCTTCTTCTTCTTCTTCTTCTTCTTCTTCTTCTTCTTCTTCTTCTTCTTCTTCTTCTTCTTCTTCTTCTTCTTCTTCTTCTTCTTCTTCTTCTTCTTCTTCTTCTTCTTCTTCTTCTTCTTCTTCTTCTTCTTCTTCTTCTTCTTCTTCTTCTTCTTCTTCTTCTTCTTCTTCTTCTTCTTCTTCTTCTTCTTCTTCTTCTTCTTCTTCTTCTTCTTCTTCTTCTTCTTCTTCTTCTTCTTCTTCTTCTTCTTCTTCTTCTTCTTCTTCTTCTTCTTCTTCTTCTTCTTCTTCTTCTTCTTCTTCTTCTTCTTCTTCTTCTTCTTCTTCTTCTTCTTCTTCTTCTTCTTCTTCTTCTTCTTCTTCTTCTTCTTCTTCTTCTTCTTCTTCTTCTTCTTCTTCTTCTTCTTCTTCTTCTTCTTCTTCTTCTTCTTCTTCTTCTTCTTCTTCTTCTTCTTCTTCTTCTTCTTCTTCTTCTTCTTCTTCTTCTTCTTCTTCTTCTTCTTCTTCTTCTTCTTCTTCTTCTTCTTCTTCTTCTTCTTCTTCTTCTTCTTCTTCTTCTTCTTCTTCTTCTTCTTCTTCTTCTTCTTCTTCTTCTTCTTCTTCTTCTTCTTCTTCTTCTTCTTCTTCTTCTTCTTCTTCTTCTTCTTCTTCTTCTTCTTCTTCTTCTTCTTCTTCTTCTTCTTCTTCTTCTTCTTCTTCTTCTTCTTCTTCTTCTTCTTCTTCTTCTTCTTCTTCTTCTTCTTCTTCTTCTTCTTCTTCTTCTTCTTCTTCTTCTTCTTCTTCTTCTTCTTCTTCTTCTTCTTCTTCTTCTTCTTCTTCTTCTTCTTCTTCTTCTTCTTCTTCTTCTTCTTCTTCTTCTTCTTCTTCTTCTTCTTCTTCTTCTTCTTCTTCTTCTTCTTCTTCTTCTTCTTCTTCTTCTTCTTCTTCTTCTTCTTCTTCTTCTTCTTCTTCTTCTTCTTCTTCTTCTTCTTCTTCTTCTTCTTCTTCTTCTTCTTCTTCTTCTTCTTCTTCTTCTTCTTCTTCTTCTTCTTCTTCTTCTTCTTCTTCTTCTTCTTCTTCTTCTTCTTCTTCTTCTTCTTCTTCTTCTTCTTCTTCTTCTTCTTCTTCTTCTTCTTCTTCTTCTTCTTCTTCTTCTTCTTCTTCTTCTTCTTCTTCTTCTTCTTCTTCTTCTTCTTCTTCTTCTTCTTCTTCTTCTTCTTCTTCTTCTTCTTCTTCTTCTTCTTCTTCTTCTTCTTCTTCTTCTTCTTCTTCTTCTTCTTCTTCTTCTTCTTCTTCTTCTTCTTCTTCTTCTTCTTCTTCTTCTTCTTCTTCTTCTTCTTCTTCTTCTTCTTCTTCTTCTTCTTCTTCTTCTTCTTCTTCTTCTTCTTCTTCTTCTTCTTCTTCTTCTTCTTCTTCTTCTTCTTCTTCTTCTTCTTCTTCTTCTTCTTCTTCTTCTTCTTCTTCTTCTTCTTCTTCTTCTTCTTCTTCTTCTTCTTCTTCTTCTTCTTCTTCTTCTTCTTCTTCTTCTTCTTCTTCTTCTTCTTCTTCTTCTTCTTCTTCTTCTTCTTCTTCTTCTTCTTCTTCTTCTTCTTCTTCTTCTTCTTCTTCTTCTTCTTCTTCTTCTTCTTCTTCTTCTTCTTCTTCTTCTTCTTCTTCTTCTTCTTCTTCTTCTTCTTCTTCTTCTTCTTCTTCTTCTTCTTCTTCTTCTTCTTCTTCTTCTTCTTCTTCTTCTTCTTCTTCTTCTTCTTCTTCTTCTTCTTCTTCTTCTTCTTCTTCTTCTTCTTCTTCTTCTTCTTCTTCTTCTTCTTCTTCTTCTTCTTCTTCTTCTTCTTCTTCTTCTTCTTCTTCTTCTTCTTCTTCTTCTTCTTCTTCTTCTTCTTCTTCTTCTTCTTCTTCTTCTTCTTCTTCTTCTTCTTCTTCTTCTTCTTCTTCTTCTTCTTCTTCTTCTTCTTCTTCTTCTTCTTCTTCTTCTTCTTCTTCTTCTTCTTCTTCTTCTTCTTCTTCTTCTTCTTCTTCTTCTTCTTCTTCTTCTTCTTCTTCTTCTTCTTCTTCTTCTTCTTCTTCTTCTTCTTCTTCTTCTTCTTCTTCTTCTTCTTCTTCTTCTTCTTCTTCTTCTTCTTCTTCTTCTTCTTCTTCTTCTTCTTCTTCTTCTTCTTCTTCTTCTTCTTCTTCTTCTTCTTCTTCTTCTTCTTCTTCTTCTTCTTCTTCTTCTTCTTCTTCTTCTTCTTCTTCTTCTTCTTCTTCTTCTTCTTCTTCTTCTTCTTCTTCTTCTTCTTCTTCTTCTTCTTCTTCTTCTTCTTCTTCTTCTTCTTCTTCTTCTTCTTCTTCTTCTTCTTCTTCTTCTTCTTCTTCTTCTTCTTCTTCTTCTTCTTCTTCTTCTTCTTCTTCTTCTTCTTCTTCTTCTTCTTCTTCTTCTTCTTCTTCTTCTTCTTCTTCTTCTTCTTCTTCTTCTTCTTCTTCTTCTTCTTCTTCTTCTTCTTCTTCTTCTTCTTCTTCTTCTTCTTCTTCTTCTTCTTCTTCTTCTTCTTCTTCTTCTTCTTCTTCTTCTTCTTCTTCTTCTTCTTCTTCTTCTTCTTCTTCTTCTTCTTCTTCTTCTTCTTCTTCTTCTTCTTCTTCTTCTTCTTCTTCTTCTTCTTCTTCTTCTTCTTCTTCTTCTTCTTCTTCTTCTTCTTCTTCTTCTTCTTCTTCTTCTTCTTCTTCTTCTTCTTCTTCTTCTTCTTCTTCTTCTTCTTCTTCTTCTTCTTCTTCTTCTTCTTCTTCTTCTTCTTCTTCTTCTTCTTCTTCTTCTTCTTCTTCTTCTTCTTCTTCTTCTTCTTCTTCTTCTTCTTCTTCTTCTTCTTCTTCTTCTTCTTCTTCTTCTTCTTCTTCTTCTTCTTCTTCTTCTTCTTCTTCTTCTTCTTCTTCTTCTTCTTCTTCTTCTTCTTCTTCTTCTTCTTCTTCTTCTTCTTCTTCTTCTTCTTCTTCTTCTTCTTCTTCTTCTTCTTCTTCTTCTTCTTCTTCTTCTTCTTCTTCTTCTTCTTCTTCTTCTTCTTCTTCTTCTTCTTCTTCTTCTTCTTCTTCTTCTTCTTCTTCTTCTTCTTCTTCTTCTTCTTCTTCTTCTTCTTCTTCTTCTTCTTCTTCTTCTTCTTCTTCTTCTTCTTCTTCTTCTTCTTCTTCTTCTTCTTCTTCTTCTTCTTCTTCTTCTTCTTCTTCTTCTTCTTCTTCTTCTTCTTCTTCTTCTTCTTCTTCTTCTTCTTCTTCTTCTTCTTCTTCTTCTTCTTCTTCTTCTTCTTCTTCTTCTTCTTCTTCTTCTTCTTCTTCTTCTTCTTCTTCTTCTTCGCAAATGTTAGTGCATTTATAATATCAATTAATGTTTGAGTGAAATTGCAAAATCTGTAATTTTCTTCGTCTAACACGAAAATGTGAAAAGATAGTAGCTATTCACGAGAATGGTATGATTGGCTGAAGAAAAGCTTGGCTACTCTTGTGGTATCCATCTTATATTATTTGCTTATGTTTCATTCTATTTTTCTATGACTATGAATAAGGGATTTTTCATTCTAGCTGATTTAAAACAATTGGGACCATTTATAATATGAGGATCATGTTTTTGACAGTGAATGACAAATACTGTAATATTTTAGTGCTTCACTTCATACAAGGTATCTCACAGTTTTTATTTCTTTTGAACTTAATAATATATTTTTTCCATTCTTTGTAATCTGTCTTTCGCTATAGTGGGTACTCTGGACCTCTTTCAATTGAACATTGGAACATTCACAAATAACTGAAAGACATACCTCTTTTGTGCATACCATTCAAATGTTACCTTATTTGAATTATTTCGATGTTGTTGACTTGCTACTTTTCATCCATCCAGCTATTTAATGAGCTATGCTAGTCCACATCACATAATAATTCCAAAACACATATTATGGGCATACTAAGCAGTAAGCACAATCCTTTTTTATAAGAAATGTCATAGTCAGTAGATATAAAGATCTGTTATATGTATCATGTACCTTTCTACTGATTAGCTGATTGCTTGCAACCCATCTCATGAGTTGTCACCTCGTGATTTACCATCAACGAACAAAATTTAAATTTAAATCTGGTATTGAGGACAAAAAAGTTTTGCATTTGTTTCTTGAACATTATCCACCTTGACAGTTACTTTGGTAGCTCTAGAGTTAGTGGTGCTATACCTTCAACGTTTGCTGTTCTACGAAATCTGCAGACAGTGTAAGAGCTTTCTGAACTATCCTTTTTGCATATCTGAGAAACTAAAATATTGTGTTCAGATTAATTATTTTTGTTATCAATTTTACTGAGGAAGAATTTTGGGGATCTCAGGTGGGCTTCAGACAATGAACTCACTAGTAGCATACCTGAATTCATTGGGAATTGGTCAAAGCTTAAAAGCTTGTAAGCAATCTTCTATGTTGTGTTTTGACAATCACACTCAAATTATAGCCCTACTTTAAAATAGCAATGTATAGTAACTGAGATGTATAACACTCTTCAGCAATCCACTTCACTTTTCTTTTTCTTTTTCTTTTTTCTTTTATTTATTTTATTTTATTTTATTGTTTGTAGGAGATTTCAGGGAAACTCCTTTGGAGGTCCAATAGCAACAACATTTTCCAACTTAACCTTGATGGAGGACTTGTGAGCATTAACTCTTTCAACAGCTTTTGTTCATATTAGCATATCAATAAAGCTAGTCTTCTCTTTTATAATATGCCCATGCTCATCTAGGAGAATAAGTGATTTATCTAATGGACATTCTTCATTGGCGTTTCTTAAGGATATGAAGTCTTTGAATCTCTTGTAAGGCGATATGGTTATTGCTGGCCAATCTATTCTGTTTTAATTTTTCATTTTCATGCTCCTTAATTGCTCTTGTACAAAACTAATATAGAATTCTGAGGAATAACAATATTTCTGGATCTATCTCATCCAATATTGGAGATTATCAAAGATTGTTACAACTGTAAGTTATTGCTATAAATTTCAGGTCAGCTCCCATATACTTCAACCTGAAATTTTGCCAGTTTAGAGCCAGATGGGGGAAGATGGAGTCAAAACCAGACAGCCAACTCTATGAAGCAAATACTTTTACTGTATTTACGTTATTATATAATGAATTTAATTGACCATGGTTTGTATAATTTTTCAGGGATTTTAGCTTCAACAAATTAACTGAACAGATTCTTGATTCGCTGTTCAATTTGAGCTCTCTTGTAATAAACATCTTGTGTTGTATTATTTTAGAATCTTTCCAACAAATACTGTTTATTGCTTGAACTAATTTCTTCTTTATAAAAGGTATTTTTTTTTTTTGGTTAAATCTCACAGAATTAGCACAATTTTTTTTTATTTAAAAAAATGAAGTTATAACGGCGTTTTTAAACGTCACTATAGAATACCAACGGTTATATTTTGAAAATAAAAATGACCTATCACGGCGTTTTTAAAATGTTGCCAAATGTGTAGTGACGTCATTGTACAATTATGCAGCACATTATATAGCGATGCTTTTAAAGCGTCATAAAGTTACAGTAACGGTCGCATCTTCGGCGTTTAGTACTAAACGTCACAAAAACAATTAGCGGCGTTTTTTTATAGCTATAGCGGCGTTTTTTAAACGCCACTAAAAGCTCAATTTCCAACAGTGTGGATTGTGTGGATTATTGTTTTTTTTTTATATATATATCAAACCTGAGATCATTGTCTGGATTTTTTTTTTTTTGTGATTATTCTTGTTCTTGTTGTTAATAATGATATAATAAATAAAATATTTGAACAGATAATTGAAAAAATTGAACATATAATAAAATTTGGACAAATATTTGAACAGATAAAGAATTTCAGTAGATAGATAAGTTAAAATGAGAATTTCAACAGATAAAGAGAAAAAGTGTAAAAATTCAACAAATCTAGTGATAAATTTCAACAGATAGCAAAATTTTAAACAGATAAGAAGAAAATATTGAACAGATAGTCAAAAAATTTAAACAGATAGATATAAATTTGAACATATAGTTAAAAAAAAGTCAAATAGATAAAAAAAAAAAAAAAAAAAAAAAAAAAAAAAAAAGGGTAAAATTAGAAACAAAATGTATTTCAAAATAAATAAAGGATTTTTTACTAAATTATTTCATAAAAGGTGAACCTTTCAGCAATAAAAAAATTAAAAAAAAAAAAAAAAAAAAAAAAAAAAAAAAAAAAAAAAAAAAAAAAAAAAAAAAAAAAAAAAAAGAAGTCAAGAAATAAATTATAGGGTAAAATTAGAAACAAAATGTATTTCAAAATAAATAAAGGATTTTTTACTAAATTATTTCATAAAAGGTGAACCTTTCAGCAATAAAACATACTCATTGAATCTAATATCTTATACCCTTCTTAAATTGAACTTTTCAATCATTATCTCAAATGAGATTTGAGTTATGAAATAATGAATTATTCTTGCTAATTTACTCTCATTTCTTTCACCATTCGGTACGTCTCACATGGCATGAATAGTAAAATGGAGAAATAGCATGCTAATCATTTGACGAGACAATATATTATATCATTTGACAAAATCAAATAAAAAGAAAACAATAGCAACAAAAATAAGCACATCCAAAGCATTATTTGAAAAAAATAATAATAAAAATAAACAAAAGTAAACAAAAATAAATTATATAAGCAATAACAATCCTTGAATTACTAGAGATGCACATCGAGTCACAAATCAAATTTCATTATGGTGATTCTCGTGGAAATATCTGTTAAGCATGTTTGGACTGATATATGTTAGAGTGAGCTGTCAAGCTGTTGATGTGTTAAAGCATTTCAAATTAAGTAGTTAAAATTATATGTTAAAGTATGCGTTAATTAACAACAAAAAAATGAAAGTATGACCTAATTATGTATAAGGATTATTAGTTCATTCAGGTAATAAAAGTGGATCTCATCTAATAATTACGTTGGTTTATACATATATTTGAGAAAGAATAGTAAAGTTCAAAATCTACTGAAAAACTTAATATATGTACAATTTGGTCACCTCGTTATATGGAATTAGATTTTTTATGTGTTAGGTTTTTATTCTTGGCAATCCCGTTTGACAAAACTTCTTTCAGTTGTAATTTAATTCGTTCTTTTATTTAAGTGAGGCTATAAGTTTTAGATGCGAATCCAACTCGAATTGTGCCCTTGCAGAGATGTTACAGAAGTTATTCTTTTATGTTTGCCACTTTGCTAACTATGGGTCCGTTTGGGAAGAACTAAAGTGGGCTTTTTTGGCTATTTTAGCCACAAAAGACAAAATAGGCTATTTTAGCCACAAGAAACAAAACATCACATCCAACCCATAATCATTACACTCTTCTCTCACAAAAAAAGTCAAAAAAGCCAAAAAGTCAAAAAGCCCTTCCCAAACCAAGCTTTTTAGCCCAGGCTAAAATAGCCAAAAAAATCAAAAAGCCAAAAAGCCAACCCACTCCCCAAACGGAGGCTATGTCGGGGATTGAGCTACTCGGTCAGGTCGTAGGGGTCCAAGGGGCAACGCCCCTTGGCTGGTCCGGAGCAGCGCCCAGGCGGGGTCGAGAGGTAGCACCCCCAAAAGAAAAGGCAAAATTGTGATCATAGTTGTTTGTCCGCTCGAGCGGCTATTCCTGCGCTCGAGCGGAGATCGCAACCTTTCAAAAGTTTCACTCACCTGCAAAAGTACTGGGAGTTATTTTTTCCCGCTCGAGCGGTCATTCTTGCACTCGAGCAAAGATCACAGATCTATTTTCTATAAATATATGTTTCAGTCTGATTTTAAGGTACGGCTTCTAGATCTTCTTCTTGAGTATTAGGGTTTTCATCTAGAGCTTCTTTGCTTGTTTCCTTTGATATCGGTGAGAATTTAATCATGAATTGAGTGGATTATATCAAAGGATTTGTTTGTTTTATTTATTCAATACGAAAGATAAAGTTATTCTTCAGTTGATTCCATAGAATTTGGACCTGAAGCTTTGGAGGATTCTGGAATGGCTCATCATCGTGGATTCGACATCGACGTTGTGGATTCAACGTTGGGCAAGACAATTCTGAGGTGAAGACCGTGGTGGAAAAGGTATATGGGGGTCGGTTCAATTCAGACGTGGATTCGCTAGGTAATTGAGAGTATACTTGTGTAATTCCTTTTTGTCTTCTTAATGGATTGTTTTGTGGTATTGGCCCGTGATTTTTTATTACAATTGGAGGTACTCTTTACTAGTTAAAATTGATACATAATCACAAATCAATATCTAGAGTATTTCTATATTTTTCATTATGGATAGAGATGTAAAGCACAAGATAAAAAATATCATGGAGGCACTAGAGTGAGAGAGCCAAGCATGGGTTCGAGTGTGGTGCAGATTTTGAATGTTTTGACCCGCTCACACATATTATCTATTTTATTTAATGTAAAAGCTCTCCCTTGTGTATATAGGCAATTTGATGCCAAACTACCAAAATCTGTATATTTTTCTATGTGATGTACCTTCGTTCGCGATAGTAGAATGTGAAATAAAATCCCAATAAAGTGATATCAAAGTTTAAGATTGCCAATTCTAGGCGCAGTTTGCAGACGGTGGGATTATCGCACAAGAGGACACGCACCAAAAGAAAGAATTTGTTGAGATGATAGTAAAAAAAGGGGTCCAGCTTGTGTCAAGTTGAGATTAAAATTGGATCCGTTCAATTCAGCTCATAGGATTCATTTTTTGGACTCGTTTTGGTAATCCGAACCGTTCAATGTGTAGAACTCGTCGAGTACTACATACTTGTTAAAAATCACGTTGATCGGATATCAATATCTATGTGATCAAATCAGTTTTGTATAAAAAAAAATGGACGGTGAAACAATTAACGGTTGATAAAAAACTGTTTTGTTCATATAGTTATCGATATCCGATCAACGTGATTTTTTGCAAATATGTAGTACTCGACGAGTTCTACACATTAAACGTTCGGATTATCAAAACGGGACTCATGGTGGACTCCCACGAGCCTAACAGCACGGTCCAGTCTGATCTTGGACTGGACCAAAGCCACTGCCAGAAAAAAAGGAGGACAAATATTAGATGGGGAAATAACCTGACAGTGGGGTCAGAAAAAAATAATTATAAAAAGGTGAAATACATTTTAAAAATTAACAATTATAATTATAAACCTTTTTATTAATTTACATTAACATAATGTCAGCATAATTGTCCTATATTAGATCCGTGGGTATTTAAAAAATAATTACAAATCAATGAGAAATTTTGTAAATATTAATAATTAAATTTATAAATTTTTTCATGAATTTATATATATATAGTTACCTTCCACTGAGGTATAATTACTTCAAGAAAAATGGCCTATTCAGTGCACGAAACTCTAGCTTAAGCGGGGTCTGGGGAAAGGTTAATGTACACAACCTTAACTTTCCAAATGGAGAGACTGTTTTCGCGACTCAAACTCGTAATTACTCCAAAAAAAAAAAAAAAGGATGCAGTAGTGATGTGATCAATTGATCCGTGGAAGCAATAGGAGGTAGCAATGGATGTATAAGCAGGCCAATTTTCTTTTCTTTCATAGCGTAAGTCAAGAAGGCAAACCGAACACTCTGCATATGAAGACAAATAGATTGTATTGGATTTGATTTCGTCAAATGGATTTGATCCAATGTGGCAGGATCATCCAAGATTGATGGTTTAATAATTTTTTTAGATCTTTGTATGTATAAAATAAAACTTAAATTAAAGTGAGGGTGCTCTCCAAAGTTTTTAGGCACTATTGATTTATCGATATGGTCAGAATTTTTAGATTTTAATTAAGTATAAAGAGATTGTATAGATTTAAATAAAAAATAATTGTGTGTGATCTGGGTGATCAATGCGTAATTTAATTTAATTAACGGCGGAAGAGCAATAATTGATTCGCAATTGGTTGCCAACTTATACATGCTCATACGTTATGTTTTGACCGGTGGAACAATTCTCAACTATTCTCATGATTCATTCTTTTAATTTTATTTCCCCAATTCCGTCCAGTTATGTGAAATTAAGGAGGCTAAAGATAAGAGAGAAGAATGTGAAACCGCTTCACATAGAGATGGATCACAACAATGGAGGTGAAATTAGAAGGGCAAAATTAAGAGGACAAAATTAAGAAGATGTAATACTACTCTTTGTTAATTTAAAGAATAAATCATCTTGTTTGGTTTTAATTTTTTGAATTCAATTTTCTAAAAATTAAATTTTTTATTTTTCATATTTTTTTAGTGAATTTTTTGAATATATTTTG